ATATAGCAATAGTCAAAAAGGTAAAAAGCATTCAAATAGAGAAAAGGTGATGTCCACAAAATCAGCAAATAACCCAAATCCAAGTTAGGAGACAAATCAGTCCCAAAATCCAAGAAGCAAATCCATAGGAAGAAAGTCTTTCTTTTCCAAAGGTGGCAAATGCAAAAGTCCCTTGAAGAAACAGGAGCCAACTTGAATCAAATAATCTAAATGCAGTAGCTTGAAATCACAAACACCAGCTTACAAAAATCTCAGCATGTGCATGAATACAAAGCAAGATTATACATGATTCCCCGCATGAACAAGCAAGCATGAAGCAGGCATGAAAACCAAATGTTGGACTTACTGAAGAGTATAGACTCACAGGCCCTATATTTATTCAGAAAGCCATGGCAAAAGCATTCCCTTTCCCTTGGGAAACCTCTCCCTGACCCCCTGATTCTCTTAATCTTTCAGACCGTCTTCTGCCCCCTTCCAGGTATGATGATGATTGATTTGACTTCTCCTATCAAAGACTGGACTACTGCAATGCACTCTACGTGGGGCTGCCCTTGAAAACGGCCCAGAAATTTTAGATGAGCGGCAGCCAGGTTGTTAACTTGTGCTCCTTACAGGGAGAGGTCATCCCTCCTGTTCAAGGAGCTCCACTGACTGCCATTCATCTACCAGACCCAATTCAAGGTGCAGGTTCTTACCTACAAAGCCCTGAACGGTTTGGGACCCGCCTACCTGTGTGACCGCATCTCTGTATACGAACCCACACGATCTCTTCGTTCATCTGGAGAGGCCCTGCTCTCGATCCCACCAGCATCGCAGGCACGATTGGTGGGGATGAGAGAGAGGGCCTTTTCGGTAGTGGCCCCTCAACTCTGGAACTCACTCCCTAAGGACATCAGGCAGGCCTCAACCCTGGGGTCTTCAGGAGGAGCTTGAAGATGTGGTTGTGCGAGTGTGCCTTCCCGGAATAATGATCCCATAGCACTTTGTCCCTCCAAAGCACTTTATACTTTTAGGTCTGCTCGTATGTCTTCCACAAACGCCACTATCGCCTTTTCGTCCATGCCTCAGCACTTTTCCAATTTTAATTTTTACATTTGGCCTTCCCACAATTTTTAATTGTATGTTGTCTTATTGATAATGTTATATGTTTATCGTTTATGTTTTATTTTAATTGCTTGTATTGTTGTATTATTGCCTGCATTGTTGTGTTTGGGCTTGGCCTCATGTAAGCCGCACCGAGTCCCTTGGGGAGATGGTATCAGGGTACTAATAAAGTGTTGTTGTTGTTGTTGTTATTATTATTAAGAGTGTCTGGTCGTCCCTCAGCTTGCCAATTAGTACATTCCTTTCACTATCACTATCTGGCCTTGGCCGTTCAACCTTTTCCTCGGCCCCTTTTTCTGTTAGCATCGAAGCATCTTTGCCTTGGGAACCAACGATCCCAGAATCCTCTGGTTCACTCTGGCTAGAACCAGATACTGTGTCAAAGAAGAGTTCAGATTCAGAGCCTCAAGAGAAACAATGTTTGTTCATCTTGTCAGGCAGCCCATCTAAAGATTACTTAGAAACCATTTCTATTAACAACAAAGACATGAAAGGACTTCGAGATACAGGCTCTGAAGTATGTATAGTGCATCCAGAAATAATACCTCAGGAATTTCAGCGGCCTACCTCTGAAATAAGATTAAAAGGTTTAGGACCTGCGATACCAACAGCAGTAGTGACTTTGCCAATAGAATATGGAGGATGGAAGGGTATGTGGGATTTTGCAGTCAGTCCTGACATACCATACAGATGTTTAATTGGAAATGATTTGGCTAAGAAGATTGAAAGCTGGAGGATGACGTGTGAAGAGGAAGAATATAACAACGAAAGCCATGATCAAAAAGCCATGTGTTTTGCCATACAACAGGATGGGGAGGAGAGTCCGGAATCCAGCGCTACGGTTGCTGAGCTTGTTAAGAAGACGGGAGGAATTGAAGAAATTCGGCAGGAACAAGGAGCCGATGAATCTCTTAAACCTCTATTCGCTTTGGCTCAAAACCCCACAATATTGGCAAAAGAACAGCCCTCCGAGTTTGTGTTAAAGAATGGTGTTTTATATAGAAAAACCAGGAATGTGGAGTCAACAGAAGAATCAGTGACAAGTAGTCAAATTGTAGTGCCTCAAAGTTTTAGAGAACAGCTGATGAGGGTGGCACACGAAAACCCTCAAGGTGGACATTTGGGTGTGAGGAAAACCACAAAGAGAATCACTAAGAACTTTTATTGGCCTGGCGTGTTCCAGAAGATCAAAGAGTTTTGCCAGTCTTGTGACATCTGCCAAAGATTGAGTACTGGAAGGGATAAAATTAAAGCTCCTATGATCCCTATGCCAATAATTGGAGAACCATTTTACAGAGTGGGCATTGACATAGTGGGTCCTCTTTGTAAACCAAGCAGACGTGGTTACCGATACATTTTAACCATGATTGACTACGCCACAAGATATCCAGAGGCTGTAGCTCTAACTAACATCGAGACAACAACGATTGCAAATGCACTGTTATCCATTTGGGGAAGAACTGGTTATCCTAGAGAATTGGTTTCAGATTTGGGAACCCAATTCACTTCCAGACTTATGTCGAAATTGCTTGAGTTATGTGGTATCAGACA